GAGCAGGGAGCCCGATGCGGGACTCGATCCAGGGACTCCAGGATCATGACCTGAGCCAAAGGCAGTTGCTTAACCAACTGAGCCACCCAGGCACCCCGAATCCCTTGGTTATTTTAGAGTCTCTTAAAATATTTCTTTTTAAAACAATGTTATTGAAGATAGTGAAATGTACAAAAAATGTTAAAAATATTAATAAGCCTGCCTAAAGTATGATTATGATTTTTTTTTGAGACATACTTCATGGGTGAAACATATTAGGCAATTATAGATATTTTAATCTGGTCATTGGTAAAATATTATCTCATTTCTAGGTCCTTAGGTATACTGGCTTTACTATCAGGAATTTATTAATACCCATATACTATCAAATGGTTTGTTAAGTATTTGTACTGTTACATTCAGTATTACTTGGATGATAATAGAGTCATTTTCTTCAAATATAGTCTTGGCCTTTGATATTTGCTTGATATATGTTTTCTTTGTAGAAAAATAAGGGAATAAATTTTTTAGACATTTTAAATTAAAAAACATAATTCTTAATAACTTCTCTCTTTAATCTTAAAAATTATTTTTATTTGGAATTAAAAACAACATAAACACAAATAGATTTCTTTTTAATTATCACAGTCCTTTCTATTAAAGTGTTTAAGGAAAAAAGTCAAATTTCTATTGTTCTTGAATTAGACAACAATTTTAGAGATTTCAAGTACAAATGTCTTATTTTCTTATAGAAATAAATGAGTATTATGGTTTTAACAGTCAGCCTTTTATTTTAGAGTTACACTAACTCTTAGAAGATTTGGATCTGCAAAACATATCACCGAATATACCTTTTAGTTAGGGAATTAACTAGTAGTTTGAATATAAAATTTTTTAAATGATCAAATAGTACTGAATGTTTAATATAAAATTTGATATAATAATGGATGTTTTCCAGTTTATAAATGAGTACTTTATATTTGTGAATTTTTATAATGTGCCTTTTGGATTTTTAAACCCCTTATTTATTTTTGTTTTGCTTATTTTATCTTATTTTGTGATTAAAATATAATAATTGTACTGAGCTAACTCATTTATTTTAAATCACATTTTCTATAGTATACATTTATAATATTTAAACAGTTGAGATTTAAACAGTTTGTACTGTACCCCTTGACAGTTTCCTTGTTCCTACCACCTTCCAAATAATTAATATTAAAAATGTTAAAAAAGAAAGTAGAGTGACCAGTGATAAGGATGGTTTTCTTCATAGCTCATTCATAGCATTTACCACTTACCAGAGCACATAGCATTTAATCATAATTATCTTTAATAATTATAATTATGATAATTAGAAGCCATCAAATTAAATTGTGATACATATACTTAAGAACGGACATGAAATTGTGATTAAGTATAATTCAGATAGACGCTTGTAATAACTGTAAATTACTAACAGATATGTAATTATTAGTTAATAAATTCTAAGAAGGCTGGGCCTATTTCTCATTCGTTGTTGCATTCCTAATGCCCAATCCAAAATAGATTCCCAGTAAATATTTTTAAGTTAACAAGTGAATGAATGAATGAATGAATGAAGTCACCTTACCATCAAGTCTCCCAAAACCATATCTGTAGTTTTCCCAGGTTTCATTGAAGTTTTGTGATCCATCTGTTCGGTGTTGAATTAATGTCCATGACCTATCTGAATATAATGAACAAAATTGTGTATTTTAAATAGATTGACGCTGACCGATGTAACAAAATACTGTGTTTTTTTTTTTTTTAAAGGTTTCTTTTATTTATTTGAGAGGGGAAGAGAGAGAGAGAGAGAGCACAAGCTGGGGATGGGTCAGATGGAGAGGGGGGGAGACAGAGAGAGAGAGCAAGAGAGAAGCAAGCTCTTTGCTGAACAGATTGCCCAACATGAAGCTTGATCCCAGGATTCTGGGATCATGACCTGAGCCGAAGGCATATACTTAACCAACTGAACCACCCAGCTACCCCAAAATACTGTTTTCTTGTTTTTATTTTATTTTATTTTAAAGATTTTATTTATTTATTTGAGAGAGAACGACAGAGAGTGACAGAAATAGCACAAGCAGGGAGGAGAGGGAGAAGCAGACTCTGATGCAGGGCTTGATCCCTGGACCCCAGGATCGTGACCTGAGCCAAAGGCAGACGCTTAACTGACTGAGCCACCCAGTTGCCCCTTGTTTTGATTTTAATTGGTGGCTTTGTAATGTAGTCATTAATATCATATGGTAATACCAGTTTATTATTTATTATGGTCCCAAGAAGTTAAGTAAAGGGCAACTAATGAATCTATCTTAATAAACTTATTAACAATAATAATTTCAGATTACTTTCTGGAAAAAGATGGAGAATATTGAGCAACTGCATGAGTAAATACAAAAATAAACAAGGCAAATATAAGTACTAGAGCTATGCAACTGCTCATGTTACTTATATTTCATTTACATATATTCAGAACAAAGATAATAGGATTAGTCTTACTAATAGGTAGTGAATAACCTGAGCTAATTACAGTCCATTTTCTCATCAGGCTGGTTTTACCTGATTTAACATCACAGTAGACATTAAAAACTTGCGAGTTGCTGGGTCTAATGGAATAGATGCCACTTGTATGTTCGCCTCTGTTATAAACGGTGGTACAATTAGCAGGAATGTCTAGAATCAAGAAGGTGTTATTACATAAGATATAGTAATAGGAATGGTATCTTTAGAGCTTCAGCTTTTACTTGACATTTTATGAAATTGTGGTAAATGTAGCCCTTAGCCTTTTTCAGTAATATATTACCAAGAGAGTACTTTATACTGAAGCAGATTTATTAGATGGCATGTTATGCAAACAATATTAAAATAATTATTATTAAACTGATTTGTTTTTAGGAAAAGTGACAAAATGAGAATTTTAGACACATATTTTTGCTAGATATAGGAAGAATATAAATATAATGCCACATACGAGACATAGTGCTCGGTGTGCATAGCACTTAATCAATAGGTGTATGTGGAAAGAGTAAATGTACATGAAGGAAACTTACAGAGACCTTTTGTGTGTGTGTGTGTGAATTACATATAAGTAAATATATTTTGAAAGTAGTATTTTGTGAATGTTCGGTTGGGAATGGAGACTTTGTTCTTTCATCTTTGTGGTTTTTTTTAAATGAAAAATTTCAACAGGAAAGTAGAAACATTAGAGAGAACTTCATAGTCTTTCCATCTGTATTCAGTAATTTTTAATCTTTTGCCATTTTTGCTTCATAAGATTTGAAAGTAATTTCCAGACATTATGACCCTTAACCCCTTGAATATTTCAGCTTGTATCTCTTAAACATGAGATTATTTTCATACATAATTATAATACCATTATTACATCTAAGAAAATTTAAAATAATGTCATATTATCTAATATCAAGTCTACATCTATATTTTCCTGATTGTCTTAAGAATGTGTTTTGTATGGTTAAAAAAAAAACAAAAAAACCTGCCAGGATCCAGTTTAGGTTGACACAGTGTATTTGGTGGATTTGTCTCTTTACTCTCTTGTAGTTTAAGAACAGGCCCTGAGAATAGCAATTTTTGATGGGAATGTCTAAGATAGGAGAAAAATTTGATGATAAAATACCTTCAAGAAAGAAACCCAACAAATTAACTTACCATCATGTTCTACATTGTTTGTTTCATTCAAGTGAAGAAAGGAGGTAGTTCTTGGTGCTCTTGGTTTAGAAGAAAGCGAATTTTCTGTGGATTCTTGAATACCAGTTCTTCTTAGCTGATGAAAGAATATAAATCTTTTAAAAATGGTACTGAATATACAGTTAGGGGAATCTGAGGGAGGATATTAAAAGTACAACTTGTAGGGGCGCCTGGGTGGCTCAGTCATTAAGCGTCTGCCTTCGGCTCAGGTCATGATCCCAGGGTCCTGGGATCGAGCCCCACATCGGGCTCCTTGCTCAGCGAGAAACCTGCTTCTCCCTCTCCTACTCCCCCTGCTTGTGTTCCCTCTCTCACTGTGTCTCTCTCTGTCAAATAAATAAATAAAATCTTAGGAAAAAAAAAGTACAGCTTGTATACATCTTTAAGTTCATAATATGTTATTGCTTTTGATGTTAAAACAGTTAAGCAGTGACATACAGATTGTACACATGACCTGTTCTCAAAATACTTAATCAAGCACATTATCTAATGAGTTAAAAAAACTAGAGAAAGAGAGCAAAGCACAAACCAGAAATTGGTCAAAAAAGAGTAAGACCAAAGGTAAAAACTGCTTATTAGCATTTTTTAATACATTCTGTTCATTTATATGAATAGAATATGTATTCTATTTATCAACAGGCAGATTTTAAGCTTAATAATTCTCAGTTGTTGGGGCGCCTGGGTGGCTCAGTTGGTTAAGC